AAATGGCATGAAATTTGTCTGCTGGTTCACATCTCATCATTATCATTAATGTGGCATCTACAATGCACGGCATAGAACACAGTTGAATTTCTAACGTCCGTTCAGTAAGCAGGTAATTTTGCGATCGCAGTCGACTAAATGATGTAGGTTGTGTGTGTGTGTGTGTCATTGTGTGACCTAGAGAGAAGACTGCGTACCCTCTGGAGGGTCCAATGATTGCGGACCAGCGGGCAGGAAGCCGGTCATTGCCCACTCTATCATCTGTCTGGTCTGAAGATCCACCCCCTCTGCATCATCACTCGCATCACAGGAAGGCACTGGCCTCCCCGCCCGCACGCTGGCCACCTAAACAGAGACACATCCAGGTCAATCTAATTATGTGTATGATCAGAAATAGAAAAACATATTTGTCTAGAAAAAACTGATTGGACTTTGTCTGTCATGTGATATGAAAAGTAGAAACATGCAAAATAAAAACCATCAATATGTTATTTATCCTCATGCTGTACAAGATGAAGCAAAAACACAGTGGGCGCCATAGAAGCTGTTCTGTATCACTTGCAAGTAAAAAAGAAATAAACTGAAAAAATAACCCACAAAATTATAGATTGTGTTGCCATACCCACATGTTACCACATAAATTGTGGGCAGAGCTAGATGAGAACAAACACCTCCACAAATGCAAAGCACCAACTGGCATCAGTGTAAATCACCAGATCTCGTTACATAAGAGAAGAATGACCTCTACACCTGCACATTTGTATTTTTGGGGTTTCTGGTGTTTGATTTCATCCCGAGAGATTTGTAATAAATCTATTAATGTAAAAAAATAAAAAATAAAAATCCCTAAGTTTTAAAAGCAATTAAAATTTGACACCCACTCTATGACGTTAAGGAGCAGAGTGGGTTGGTTACCTGCAGAGCCTCAAAGATAGCTTTCCGGTACATGGACTGTTTGTTGTACGTTGGCTGGTGGAAGGCAGATGAAAAAGAGCTCAGAGGCATCAGTTTCTCCACACAAACCTGCAAAACAAAACAGGAAAGCCATAAATCATCTGAGGAAAGAGCAGACCTTGAAATTCTTAATTCAGGTGATGGTGCCACAAGTGCATATTTTAGGATAAAATGGCTCAAAAGCTCGCTGAACACATTTGTCTTATTTTACTAATCTCTGAATTCCAAAATGTCTAAAGGAAAAACAAAAAAAATCAAGGTTATCTTTGATCAACTTCAACAAAAAGGACTCATTGAAATATTCTGCAAAGAGCAAATGAAAAGTTGAATTAAGGCAAAACACAGTGCATAGACAAAGGCAAGTCAAGGTGCTTTATACAAAGCCTCTGAAACCTAAAACCTGCTGGGAGGTTCGCTACTTTGAGATTAAACCATTTATCAGAGCCACACACTGTAAAAACAGAAAGTCATCATCAGATTTTTAACTTTCTCGTGGTCCTTGGGTGACTCACGTGTGACTTTATACTCGTCTGGGAAATGAATTAAATCTGAGCTTAAAATTCGGCTATCTAATGAAAATCACCGTATTTTACATGTCTCATTTAAAAGCCTGCTAAATATAAAATGTTTGCACAAGATTCAGAAAAAAACTCAGGTTACAAAAATTCAGTGAATTCAGCTGAACTGCAGTCTGTGTTTACACAGAGCACAAAGAAGACAAGTATGGAAAGAGATTAAAAAGGAAAAGAATTTTTTAAAAGCCATAAAATATCTATAGTATGGAGTGTTACCATTTTTTTTACAGTATTGATAACACCTGTACCACTGTGAAAAATGTTGTATATGCTGATTTCAAGTTTCTCAATTTGTGTAAAATAAATAATGACAGAAATTAAACTTTAATGTTTTTCTTTTTTTTTCATGTTTTATGCTCTTGTCGAGTTCTCTCTACTTCTAGTCATGGTTGTGCTGCTTCCACAGAGATGTAGGACTTTATACTATAGGGAAAAATGATGTGACAGGAGCCAATAAACACCCAGAAACTGTTTGAGGTTCAGTGGGTAAGTGTTTAAAAGAAATATAAACTGCATGAAATCTTTAAAATGCAAATCAGAGCAAGGGAAATGAAAGGATAAAGTAAAAAGAAGTTTAAGTCAGAATTCATAGAATAAATCAGAGGAGCTGATTCCAGCAGTGGACAACACGATGGCTAAAGGAAACTTTACTATGTGTGGTTTTAACTCTGGACCACTGTAGCTAACCAGGCTTGCACTCAGCAAAGACATACTTTAGTTCCAGACCAGTGAGAGACCCAAACAATAACTAACAATAACTACGGCCTTAAATTCAACTGGAAGTCAGCGCAAGAATCTAAGAATAGGATTAATGTGTCCTCTTGACGTTTGTCAATATTCTAGCAACATCAGTTTTAATGATTTGCAAAATGTCTAACAGTCTTACTGGGGAGGCTAGTAAACAGAAGTCCACTCTACAAGAAACAGAAAGATGAACAGGCTTTTCTAAATCTTTCTTGAACACAAGATAAGAACTAAGCACCAGCCTTCCTTCTTTATTGTCAAAATGAATAATATCAGCCTTCTCTTTATTTAGCTGAAGGACGTTTAGTTGCATCCAGTTGCTGAATTAACTCTGAGAAACGGGCATAGCTGTTAAAGACTGAATAAAATCGACTAAAATGTTGTGTGGAAATCTGAAAACAGCCTCTGTATGTGGTTGCTGTTATCCACAAAAGCAGAAGCTCAGTAGAATGAGTTTAAGTGTTAAACAATATAATTGATTGCATTAAAGCCAAATTACTTCCTTCCAGAATTGGCAGCTATAGTAACAGCAGACGTTGTCTCTTTCTGTGGAATGGACTTGTTTCCTTTTACATTGAGCATCAGTCTTTGATATGAGCAGGCTGGGCATGTAACAACCACTAAACCAGCACAGGATCAGTGTAGTCATAAAACTAATGATGCTCACCACAGAGAATTTTCCGTCACCAAACCACATCACCCAGCGAGTGCCGTCAGCAGCTCGACTCCGGCCGCTCATCCACCAGGACACGATCCTGCCGGGCCACCAAGAGAAGCCTCGCAGCTTCCCAAAAACCAGCGTCCCGATGCCGAAGCCCCGGCCATCCTGTTAGCAAACACAGGAAACACAGTGGTGCTCAAGTCAGCACAGACAGAGAGTTCACCCTGTGCTCATGTTGCACAATAAAAAAAAACAACAAAAAACTAATGTCTTAAGTACTGATGAGCCAACTGAACATTTGATACTGAATGTTAGTGTCAACAGTGAATATTTGGTCTTGTAAATTTAATTAACGTGTCATTCTGTGTTTCCTTTCCATCAGTCATTTGTCTTTTTGAAGAGCACTTTGTCAAAGGTTTATCCATCTTTAAATCTCCAGGAAGCTGAAGTAATTACTAAAGATGTTAATTTTCCAGTTACAGAGTTTCGGCAGTGCCACTAAATTGCACTTTTTAATACCACATCAAACATAATTTTATGTCTTTTTGAGTGTCAAATGGGTTGAAGAATGATGGAAAACAAACAATCACGTCTACAATTATTTACTTTGTAGGTTAACACATTTTCTTCATACTTTCCAGATGTTTAATGAATTAATTTTTGTGAGCTGGAGCCATGTACGAATTATTAAACAAGGCCTCCTGACCCATTGGGCCCCTTTATGAAATAATACTACTTGTTTGAAAGTCACAGAGCTTAGTTAGATTTACGAAGAAAGAAATACTCTACCAATATGCAAAACAACTACAAACACACAAAACAATGCAAAAGAATGTTTGTGGAAGTCCTATATTAATGGGGTAGGGTGGCACTTATTTGTCTGGGTATAAATAATGCGTCTCGACCTGTCAGCAGCCTGGTAAATGGTAAATAACTAACGAATGGATTAAGTTGAGCTTATGACAGAAATAGAAACAAATGTGATTTTCCACAGATGGCAAGAAAAACGACTAAAGACCCTTGTAAATGAAATTTGAGACTTTTTAACACTTTTAATGCAATTTTTGAGGCAACTGAATTCCATGGTTTGCAGACACTCTGAGCTTTTTGATCATTACCCAGACTTGCATTGTCTTACTAGCTGACTCAGCGGTTTATTAGGACAAATACCACAGCGTGATCTAACAAATATGTGCCAAAATAAAAGACATGAAAAGTAAAATAAATAAAAAATACAGTATTTTTTGTGTATCACTCCAATTACAGAGTAAGGAAGTATTGTTCCTGTGGTATTGGTATCTTAAAATGATCTACATGGTTTGAATTGTGAGGCATTGTGCTGTCAAACAATGTATAATCTGAGCCGAACCCATTCAACTACATGCCTTTATTAGATAGCGCCAGTAGAGTGATGACAGAAAAGGAGGGAGAGAAAGAGGCTTCCAGCCAGACTCAAACTGAGGACGAGCCGCTGTGGCGCCCCTGGAGCTTTAGATTAGATCACCATCTTATATCAATTATGATCTTCCCGAGCGGATGGAGTTCGTCCAGTTGTTAGGAAACTAGACACATTTACATTTTGTTGAGCCCAATGGGGACTTCCTATCATGGCTTTAAAGTAGCCTGAAAGTTAATGTTTGCTCCTTTTACTGAGGACGATCCCGTTTAAAGCTCCAGAACAGGTGCTAATGAAGCTTTTGGTGAGAACATTTTGTCAACTCCTGTTTCTGAAGTCAAGAATACCCCAGAAGCAGTGACCGTCTCACCTGGTACTCTATCTCACTGGGCGTCGCCTGGTCTCCCCTGGCAACTGGCTCGGGCGTCACGGCGACTGTGGGTGAGGCGGGGTCTGTGTGTTGTTGCGAGGGGGGAGGGGCTGGGCTGGCAGGCTCCTCCTCTTTTTGAAAGTCAGCTTCTGATAGGTCGTCCATCATGTTTATCTCTGCCTCTCTGTAGGCCCGTCGCTCTGCCTGTTGAAGAACAGCACGAAGCAATGAGCAACAGTTTTAATTTTAGAGATCTCCATCTGTCTGTCAGCATTTTAGATGTTGTACGGTTTGTCTACAATAAAATTCCCCCAAATTGAACTGAACTGATATTAAGTTTAAACCAAGTTATAAAACTACAGCTCTACCAGCACTCAGGGCCACTCAATGTAGAATAAAGTGCAAAGAAACAAGCTATGCAACACACTGACTTGAATTGAGCTTCTTTTTCATTTTAAGTGAATATTTATTCTGTCCTGAAAATAAACCTTAGCTGTAGGAGCAGTCGTTGGCATATCTGACCTTATCTGAGCCTAACGTCAAGGCAAACAGAAATTTTAAGTTAAAAAAGTATTATTACGAACATGTTAGATTTCCTACCACCAAGAATACAGAATTCATGATTAATGGCTGAGTTTTTATCAGATTTTCCTTTAGGCAAAACACCTACACATAGCCTCCTCCACCAGGGCTGATATGATTAGATAATGGATTACTCATTCTAGTCTTTTATAAAGTAAAACTACACATTTAGAATAGCTTCTGGGGGTTTTGCCCTTTATCTTTTGCCATTCGCTACTTGACTATTGAAGAACATGTGTATTATTTTGTGGGCATCCATCCATCCATTATCTATACACCGCTTAATCCTCACTAGGGTCGCGGGGGGGCTGGAGTCTATCCCAGCTGACTTAGGGCGAAGGCAGGGGACACCCTGGACAGGTCACCAGTCTATCACAGGGCTTTGTGGGCATTATTATTGTTATTGTATTGTTAAGTTGACCCTTGAAAAGATGGTAGGACATGTGAAAAAGGTCCCTGGCTGTACATGCAGTTTGGCAGGTCAAAGAAAAAAACAAAAAAATCCAAAAAGTTAATTAGAAACCATCACCCAATCAATGCTTTCTACTTTCTACTGCAACTATCAAAAACAATAATAATTTTAAAGGCATTTCTTTAGTTTAGTTTGTCTTTTGCACAAGAAACTTCAAGTTTTCCACTCTAACACTGTCTGAGGAAAATGGAAGCAAAAAAGAATCTTACAATTTAAGAAGCTTTTCTTTGGGTTTTGTGTATATGTTAGCAGAACATGTCCTTGATTTTGTTTTGGAACTTTTAGAACACATTCATAACAAAAGTAGTGCACAAAGGTTCTCCAGCCCAACAAACCCATAGACATACAACAACAGTAGTTTTGCCAGAGTAGCAGTAATAATTGTCCATGCATGCCCAGATGTGCTGCCAAGTGTGAATCACTGTTGTGACCAGAATAGATGTACATTGTCATAGTTTGGCGATGTTCAATAAGAAGAATTTAACTCTATAAACCCCAAACCAAAATGTTATCTTTACAAGAAACACCAAAGTTGCACCATTTATTTGAGCCAGCAATTTAAAAACAGGATGAATTGTTTTAACTTTTGACAGTCCTTGAACTAATCACGTGTGACTTCTGGTTCCACTGGAAAAATTAATCAAATCTAAGCTTGAAATCTGGATATTTTAATAAAATCATTTTATCCAGTGCGACTCAGATGTCATTGGTAACTGCAATCAGCTGTCATGTGACAAAAGCTCAGTGACTTTTCCGCTAAACTGCAGGCCGTGTTTACTCATTTACACTGTGTTTTATTGGTAACGCTTGCTGGCAAAATGTTTTTCCAATTTTTGTACTTTAAGTTATACTGCACAGAAGACATTTCTGAGTTCTCTCTCTATTTGGTTGTGTTGTTTCCATATAGGTGAAGTACTTTATATTGCAGTGAAAAATGATCCCACAGTGAGTAAAAAAAGTGACAAGAGCAGAAAAATACCCCAAAAGTGCTTGAGGTTCACATGATTAAAAGGCGGTTCAAATAAATACACATAAATAAAAATCAATAGGAGTCCAGCCTTATTTAAAAGTATGATTAACAGACAGAGATTGAACACAAAATGGACGTTTTGTCAACTATCACATCAGCTACAATCTCTCCTGCATATTATTGTCATTGATCAGATCTGACACGCCGGCGCCTGCTGAGAAATACGTCTCCCTTTATGTGTTTCTTCATCTACTACAACCTTTTTCCTTTACTCCTGCTGGTCTACAGACAAACACTGTCCTTCAATGAGGTCTCATAAGTGATGCTTTATGTGGGTCTTTCCAGCTGATGTGGTGGTCGCTCTAAATCAACGCCTTAGTGCCCTGAGCAGGAGGAACAATCCTCTAATTGTTCCTCTAAACAGGAAGCGAGTTGGGAGAAAGGGTGCGGTGGGGAGGCAGTTCAATGGGTTCAACTCAGGAAGGAGAGAGAGAGAGAGAGAGAGAGAGAAGACAAAGAGCCGGAGAGTAAATAGGATTATATTATAAGGCTGGAGAATACAACACAGACAGAAAGTAAGTGAAGCACTTTGAATGGGAGACAAGAAGACAGAGAGAAGATAGGGAAGGTCAGAGTTTCTAGTCAAAGTCAGTTTTTCAAGTTCATTACACCACCGTCTGTGATAAAATACTATTCTGTACCTGTACAAATACATTATCACAAGCAGACAGAGTTTATTTGGAAGATCAATATGCTAAATGTGAACACAACTGTTTTTTCTTTTACCCTTCACTTTCTGTGTGGAACAAACAAACAAGAGTAGAGTGTGTTTATATACTGTTTGCTTTCTTTGGACACTGCCAGGCTAGCTGCTTCCAAAAATAAATACAATAAAATAAAAAATAAAAATGAAAAAAAAAAAGCTTGGATCCAGAAACTCCGTGGATTTCTACAGTCATAACTTTTATTCAAAATGAGTCAGGTTGATCTCAGTAGTTAATAATACTGTAGGGTGTCAGTCGTAATATGTACTATAGTCAGGTAAAGCTGTATGTAATGTCATTTTTGGTAGGTTTTCAATCATTAATATGTAAATTACTCAGGCAAATTCACATCACAACACTGATTTTTTTTTTAGGTTATAGTGCCAGTAATATTTTTCTACTGGAAAATGTGTGCTGTAGAAATACCAGCGACTTGATTATATGCTAAGATTAGATTAGATTAGATAGAACTTTATTGATCCCTTTGATAGAGTACCTCAGGGAAATTGTTGATTTAAGCGAACTAGCTGCAAGCTGCAACTTCATAGTGAAAGAGAAGAACATTTTCCAAACTGCTGAATTATTTCTGTTAACCATTAAGAGCAATAGTACTCATCAGATGGCAACACTACTGTGTTACTATTACTGATGCCCTATCAGGCATCAAGCATTTTAATCTTGGTTAAATCACGTCATGGTGGAGTTTAATGTGTAACCAGACTTTATATTTTCAAAGTTCATCATATGTTTTGTGCGTAAAAAGTTCCAAATAATTTGTAACTATGACTATTTGCATATTAGTCTCTGAAATAAAATGAAATAAAAGTATACACATATAACACAAGTACTCAAGTTCAGCTGCATAATGCAAAACAACAGAGTAGAGCACTTAAGTCAACTCATTTTCCACCTCTGATTATCAGCAACAGCTATATGCAGAAATGCAATCAAATATTTCAAATCTAAAAGAACTCACAGTAACGTGGTTGAAAGTTGAGCTCTCAGAAACAAAAAAGAAAGGAGACAAAATTAAAAATAATCATGACCTAACTGGTTACTACAGTGCAAGAATTTCACTGTGGCCCACATGTAAGATCCCATGACTCCTCCACAGCATTTTCATGACCTAAAAATATTTGAACACTGGAGAGAACCAGTTGGTTTCTGCTCCTGCTGAGCTGGAAACCCATAATGTAATGTAATGAATGTTTGAAGCAGACTGGGGAAAAAAAAACACATTCCTCCAGGAAGAAAGAAAAGTAGAACGTAACAGAGGAGGAAGAGGGAGGGCTGGAGGCGTAAATTCAAGTGGAAGAGGAACATTAAAAGTGAGAGTGTGGGGTCGTGACAGTGCTCTCCTCAGTTTGACCCGGAGGTGAGAAGGTCGTTTCTCCTCGCTCCTGTTGACCTCTGACCTCATAAAATCCTAATCAGCCTGTTACATGGATAATAGACAAAACACACACACAAACACACAGACCGACACACACACTCACGTGCACTGTAAGGGAATCTCCATATGTCGTCACCGGTTTCTACAAAACACGGGAGGCTTGAGCAAAAACTTTTTAGGAACTAAAAGTAAAGTTACCATGAAGGTGGTTCATCTTGGAGAAACTTTGCATAGTTCTTTGCATAGGATTTATTCTGTCTCAGTGTTTAGTCTCTTCATATAATTCCAGATTGGCTCCATGATGCTCAGTCCAGGGCTCTGTGGGTTTATACCATCTGTTGCAGGACTCCTTGCTCTTCATGTGGCTAAAGATAGTTCTTTACAACTATGGCAGTATGTTTGTGGCTGCTGTCATGCCGCACAATGAATTTGGAACATCATATAGTACTTTTGGTGTTTTATGACAATAAAACAAGTGCCTATAACTTTTGCACAGTCTTTGTGTTCATGCTACACTTATTGAATTGAATTTTTATTTTTTTTTAACTTGTGTGGGGCAGATATTTACATTGCTTCCTTCTCTGTTTAGGCATTCTTGTCATTTCACTCTCAACTTTTTAGCCATACTGACAGTGCAGCTTTAAGGACAGACATGTTGGATGGATTGCATGAAGATTTCACTTTTTAATATCTACTGACTGAGAACAAATTGTTGAACAGACATTCATGTGATCAGACCTCTTCTCTTTTTATTAAAATGTCTCTTATCTCTCTGATGGGCCACTATGAGATTTTGTAATTAAATATGTGCATGTCTTCAGATGACTTGTATGAAATTTACTTTGATTTATGACACAAAATCAATAAACTAATAACTTTCCCATTGGCCTCAGTTGTGCTATCGTTGTATAGCAACTGTTAGGCCGCTAACATAATGAAACTATGATTGTGTTCACAGTACATTTTACATTATCAACAATGTATGAGTTTAAATCAGTCATCATCAATGTTAATGTTGACACT